GCCACTGGCGGGGGGGCAGGGAGCTGCGGCCAGACACGGCTCCAGCTGTGCTGCCGCGAGTCTCAGGGGATCGGAACGCACTGCTTGGGAACTGCTGGATTACACGCTGCCGCAAAGCGCCTTCTCCCTCGCAGAAACGAGGCTGGTATTTTCCCAGGACATTCCACTTGTGCCTTCTCTCAGCAAACGCAAGCACACCCCACCGGCCTCAGCACCACCCGCCAGGGCACGGGCCTCTGCTTGCTCAGGGCAGGCAGTGTAAAGCCCCCATGCACAAACCCAGCACCACCAGCACGTGCTCTTCTTCTGGCACCCATTCGTGAACATCCCTCAGCACAGAGCTCTGCTGCCGCCAGCCCTGCTTCATCCTTGCAAAATGGAAAACCACACCGTTCCGAGATGGTGACGGTCTGAAACCTGCAGGCTGTGTCACTGCCGTCCAGAGCTGGCCCCTGAGCACAGCAGAGCTGAGCGCATCCCCCTGCCCGGGACAGAGCCCGCCACCGCCCGAGGGGCTGCTCCCCCAGCAGGGGCTGAAGAACAAACACCAACTCACGTGTATCGATGGTCTCCTGGATGGGGATGAATCCCACGGGTAAAGTGTCCTTGATATCAATGAGCTTCATGTCAACCAAGACGTTGCCTAAATGACTCTTTAGAGAGAGAAAAAGAAACAGTTGGCTATGACAATTTCACCAAATTCAAGCCCAGCTTTCCTCACCCGCTGAGCCCCCAGATCCTTGTCATTGTATCCAGTCACCAACCGTAAAAATGGCAAGGAGGTACCAAGCCAACACTCGCAACTGTCCCCTCCGCAGGAACCACGTGATGATTGACTAGGAGATACCACACAACTTTCAGCGTTCACAGACCCTTGCACCTCATCCACTGCCACAACACGGGATCCTTGGAAGCACCATCAACCCACTCCCTTTGGAAATACGGCAGTTCCCAGTATTATCACCACCAACTCATCTGCTAAGCAGGTCACCTTAGTTCTCACACACTCTACAGCTACAACGGCAGCATGACATTTCCGTGACGGTAACAGCAGCACGTATTACGGGAAGATGGTTCATGCAGACACAGCCAAAGTTATTACATGCATTAGCTAATTAGTACTGAACAGACATGGTTCTAGCTCCAAAAGCAGGCACACTCCAGAAGAGCAGGCCATTTGGAACAAAGAACTTCATTTGGAGTCCATATGAATTCTGAACTGATGCCTCGTCCTATTAATCAAGGCTTGAAGAGCTCAAAACACAATTCAGAATGACAGCTTCCACAATTGTTTAGAGACCAGATTTTCTTTGCAGTTCTCATTAAAGCCAGCATTGCTGCCAATAATCTGGATTCACGTATGGAAGAAAAAGACGCTTTAGTTACTGCACAGCCTTTGTAAACAGAAATGCAATACGGAACAATTAAAATTTCATCCTAAGCCATGAAACCACGTCAGTGTGTTTTACTGTTACTGGTTGTTAAGTACCGCTTTCAGTTTTTATCTGGCAGAGTATTTCAGGCAAACCTCTACTCTCTGATTACTACACTGAACTATTTTAAAACATATTTAAATTTGCGGCCTCTGAACTAAGGGGAGATCAGGTCTGAGGCTATTTTTTTGAGGTTCTGCATTTCACGGTCAACTCCTCACCAGGAGGGGCACCGCGCCTGCAGCCCCGTCCCACTACACATCCTGTGCTCTCGCAGAGGGTCCGAGGCTGGGCAGCCCCACGCGCCTCCAGCCCTGCCTTGACCAGGGCAGCTCGGAGCGAGCGGTGCTGGATGCTGTGAAGCCTGGATGTATTGGTGAACGTGGTTCTGGCACAGCAAAAGGTAGATGGAGCGGTTGCTGCTGATTCATCTTTCATGTTTTATTTATCCAAACTGTCTGGCGGTGTTACATCAGTGCACAACTTCCAGCTGAACCCACGATCACTCCTCCATCAGCAGCAGAGCGGTAAGAAACATGCCTCTGCCAAGTTCATTCGGTGCTGAGCCCCGGAGAGCCGGTACTGCTGCTCGGACACGGCCCAGGAGCAGAGGGCACAAAGCCTCCCCCCACGGGACGCACCATTCGGGGCCTCCTCACTGCGACCCTCAAACACCAGCAACGTCCTCATAATCCATCAAGTACTGTAAGCTGCTGAGAATGATGATTCTCATAAAGAGACACCACAGACTGTCTCCGTTATGAACCAGGTACCTGAGGTGCATTAACTCTGCTATCTACAATATGTTCTTCAAGACAAATAGTTCCCAGTGTTTTGTTAAAAACAAAAAAACCCTGAACACTAAAACTTCCAACCCCAAGCGCAGCCCTGCATCAACGTCCAGAAGCTCCTCCCTCCCGGCTGGGAGCTCCAGGTCACTGCTGCTGGTGAGCGCTGAGGCCTTTTAGCCCTCGGAGGCCCCCAGTGGGGCAGCACATCGTAGCCCTGGGGCTGGGGAGCGCTGCGAGGGGAGGGAACACTCTCAACACTGGGCTCGACAGGACCTGTGAGCGGGACGTGAGCGCTTGCACCGCATCTCCCACAGCGGGACCCGCAGCCCTCCCCCCACGCTCCCCTTAGTTCACTCCTCATCAATATGAGCAACGTATTCCCAAACCGCGCCGAGCAGAGGATTCATGCCAAAAGCCCGACAGGCACCGACTGAGGGTATTTACACTGTCTCTGGTAGCCAGCAGTTGCTACTATCCTGTAATTATTTCTGACAACTTCCCATTTAAGGTAGCTATGGATAAACTTAACACTCAAATAATTCCAAATCTTTGTGTTTAGTACCCTCCCTGCCTGCTCTGGGGCTATTATTCCCTCTACTGCAGGTACTCCAGCATGAAAAGCTCAATTGCTGTCCATCCACACCAGGAAGCGCTATTTCCCATAGCTCTGGAGCTTTATTTTAATCTAAAGGCAGGCAGGGAAGCGAATGGAATAAAGGTCAAATGCTAGAAAGTGGCAGCCCCCGGCTCCCTGTCAGGACCTGCGATCAGCCGCTGAAGTCATGGTCGCTTTTCTGTTCCCGGCGCTGGTGAAAGCAGAGCACAAAATGGTATCTCCGCACCCTGACAACCGAGTCGCTGTGAATATCCAAAACACGACGCAAAGCAGGAATACCCACTAGATGGAGTGCAGTCATTGTAGAATCAAAGAGGGCCTCCAGAAAAGGGGAAGTGTTCACACTAGCCTGAACCAAAACCACAGGAGAAGGCATCAGGCTCTCACGGCACATGGTCTCTTCTCCGCTGTGGGAGATGTGGGCTGACAACTGCCACTAATCAGAAATTAACTTGTGTTTAATAGCCATACTAGAAGATTACAAGAATACAGTAGGATGTGCACAATGTGGGCACATTTTCAAGAATCAGCACCAAAAACAACAAAGAAAGAAAAGCTAATCCTGCAAGAAAAAGATCTGTGATGCCCCTGGTTTCAGAAACTAACATTTCCTTCATCAACTCTACCAACAACACTTGCTTCTCCGGGTAATTAGAGATAGAAATTCATCAGGATCATGAGACTGTAGCACCCACTGCTACAGCAGGAAGCACTGGTGTAAAGGGGTTGCTGAAGTGCGAGCATTCCCTTTTCTGCTGCTTCTATTGCAGATTTTGGTAGCCATTTCTTTCCATGAAGAAAAGAGAGAAAATGCAAATATGAGCCACTGCAGCTTGCCTCCTGACTCACCCAAACTCAGTGAAACGCCTGCCTGAATTATAATTGGCTCCATAAAATGAATCATCTTACGGGTACAAGCATACCAGGTACAGATGCAAATCATGCAGACACTCAGCAATCGGACTTACATTTTCTTTTGAAAACGACCTCGTGAAGCACAGGTATCGTGTGACCTTGGATTTAAATAAGCCATCTTTCCAGAGGTCAGCATCCAAGCCATCTGCTGTTTGTGCAACCTGGAAAGAAGAGACAGAGGGAGAGAGGAGACATGTGAGCCAAGATAAAGTTAATATATGTGCAGTACTTCTTCCTCAGACCTCTTCTAATTAACGGCAGCCCGAACTCTCACAGCATCTCATTAGTTTCTTCACGAGGCGCAGTGCAAAGAACTTCCAAGAGGAGGTATAAAAAGAAGTTCTAAAAATGCTGTCTCTCGGGAGCCCGTTGATTAAAGACGCTCTGACAAAGGCTATTCTAATGAGGAAACAGCAACTCTGGTTACAGTCTCCAAACAATAGTTCGGAAAAGTCAGCATATTGAGGCTCTCATTACCACCCTACACGCAAGGGCACACTGGGGCAAGCTGTGAGGAGGGGTCCACGTAGACAAAGCACAAACACTGCCTGATCTCAGTACTATTTTCACAGAAAAAAACATTGAGGAATTCTGGCTTCCAGGCCAAAAAGCTGCTTCCAGCAGCTAGGAAAGCCCCGGTCAGCTGTGGACTTTATCAGCAGTGCCGATAAATACCTCTCCGATGCAACCCTGCATCCAGTCAAACCAGTGGCACATACCGTGTGGAGGGAAAGGAAGCAGACCCTGCGCCCTCCACGAAAGGGACAGAGGCACAGGAAGCAAGAGAAAGAGAGCAGAAGATCTCACCTTCGCACGGATTCAGGGAGCGGGCAGGAGGCAGCACCATGCCCAGGGACAGGGCTCTGCTCTGTGAACAGCCGCGCACTCGCCCCGCACAGTAGGAGCTGGGGAAAGCCCCTGCCCCAAAAGGTTTGTTGTCCAACGAGGGAGGAGAGAACCAGACAAACACAAGGAGAAGGGTGGCAGCAATAAGATCACCCCACCGGACTAACACCTGACCAGTGGCTTGCAACAGGAGACTCCAGTATGGTCTGAAGCCACAAGGAAGCGCTGCTGAACTTCTGCCTAACGCCTCTGAGCCAAGGGGAAACTGCTCCACCCGCAGCCTTTCCAAGCCTAATTTTAGGGAATTGAGGAAGACCTTTGCCACAGAGCAGTCTGATACCAAAGCGCTGACATCTGCTGTGACTGTGCGCACCCACGTTCTGTCCAGCAGAGACTCTGCGCGGGGCAAGCGGCGCGTGCTGACAAGACCTGCCGATTATCCGAAGCACAGGAGAGCAAAGCACGTTTGTTGTCGGATCAGAGCGAGCAAAGCGCATCGGCTGGTCCTCCCACCCCGGCGGCGCGCCGTCACCCCGGCGCCTGCCGTTCACAAGCCCTGCTCAGCTCAAGTTCTTGTACGACACACGTAGCTTTTGCAGTAGGGCTTCTGAAAAGCAACATGCATTATCTTTCAGTAGAAATTTTTAAAACAGAATTTTGGTGGGATTTTTTTGTTTCCTTACTATTCCTTGAATTCAACTATTTCCTAAAGCGCTACTTTAGGTACATCTCCCTCCCCTATGGCTAAGTCAGTGCTGCTGAAAAGATACTCAGAAAACAGACTGCTTAGAGAAACTGTTGGCATACAGGGACACTTAACTTGAACTCGAGCTCTTGTTAGAAACAGTTTGAGGGACTACAACCCGATTTAATCACTTTGTTAATTAATATGGTTTGAATTCTATGCTTCAGTTTTTCTTGTGCCAGCCAGCTTTATTTTCTTTGTTTCCACATGAAATAGGTTTAAAACTCGACTGGCAGCATCTGTAAAAACTGGTGGTGTACAACTCCCTGCCATGCAGCCGCTCGGGACCCTTGGAAGCTGCCGGTCCCTGAGGCAGCTCCAGCCCCGCTGCCCCGTGCCCCCTGCCACCAGGGGCAAGAGCTCACAGCCCTGGGACCCTGCTGGAACACCAAACCCACTTCTGCTGAAAAGCAACAGTCCCAGGTGACAGCCCCAGCAATTAACCCTCGGCACTCTGCCTCCACATTGTCCTGCCGAAGACTTTCGCTGAGCCTGGAGAACGTAAGCATGCATTAACTTGTCAGAAAACTCATAGGGAAAAAGAAAACAAATACAAACAGGAAACCTCTTGCATCACCTGCTGAGCTCCTGCA